TTTTTTTTTTTCTCTCTCCCTCCACTCCTGTCATCTGTTGAGTGTAATAATAATAATAATAGATGCATTCAAACTGTAACTCTGTACAAGTATCAGAGATAATCCCCACCCTCCCCTTCATCTTGTTTGGAGCAAAGACAGAAAGCAACATAGTTGTAAACATTGCAGTACACATTTTTTTTAACAGTAAAGACCTACATTCCACATTGTATTCAATCGCTGTGTTTTGCTCTGTTCTTTTTATTTTTTTTTTTTTTTACATGCTTTCAATAAATATAACGTGTGGCCATGTATATAAACAGCCTTACCTTATAGACATGTGGCTGATTCAACCATTTATTTTCAATGGACCAATGCATTTATCCTATCCTTCTGTAGGGGGCAGTAGCATTGAATGACAAACCGTGAGCTCCCCCTTATAATAGAAACATCGACACAAGTGGTAGTGAACCTTGACTTTAAAATGAGTACTGGCTGTAATCCTACATGGTTCTACATAAACCCTGTAGATAGCACAGTGGACAGTTGATTCAAAGAAATCTATTTAAGTAAATGAAATGATAGAAGATGTAGCTCAATGATAACCTGCAGTCAGATGAAGGGAGTAATAACAGATTGTTGTAACGTTTAGTAGTATACAATATTAATACTGTAGTTTATCCTACAGACATGTATTTTGCAGACCTTTTTTTTACAGGTGAATGTCACAGAGAGCAGACAGCAGAGGGCCTCGCCCCACTGTGGGAACAAGGGATCATGTATATGTATGAAGTGTACACAAACATCGTACATGGATTATGCAGCTATTAGGGATATTAGATTGTGTGAGGTCACCGAGACATATTTGCATGCCTTGATCTTTTGGGATTTTTTTTTTTATTTTAAAATCCATTATTTTAGATAACAACTAGGGAAGATGATGCCAAAATTTACAACTAGAGGTGATTGTCATACTTTTTCCCCCCTTTTTTTAAGAAAAAAGTGAAAACAATGGAAATGCGCATAATACATACTTTCTCTGTCCCCCTGTCTGTGTCTTCATTCACTCATGACTCAGTGAAAAACTGTACCATTAAGGGTGGATTCGCTGTTGTTTGCATCAAATATGTAATAAATGTTTGCAATGAATTACAGGCTTTAATATTAATAATTCAGGCTGATGTGTCATATTCTATTTAGTGAGTAGTAATCAATTTTACCATCTGAGAATACAGATACAAAGTGGTTAGTTATTACCACTTGTTATTTGACACAGATATACTTAAAATTACTAGTTCACAGTTTAGAAAAGTTGATTCATCTTATCTTTCAACTGCTTTTATTCAGCTAATTGGATTTTTAGCCTTTATCAGCATACAGTAAGACTTAATTACTTGGCAAAAAGGTCCAAAAAAGTCAAACTTATTACCTCCCAACGATCAACTGATATATTGAGACAACACATACCAGTGATCTGCATCAAAAAAAGTTAAGATTGTTAATGAAGATTAAACGGGGGATTATCCTAGAGATATTCTGTGATCAATAAGCAAAGGTATTAAGTTTAAAAACTGCATTGAGACAAGTTATCAAGGAGCTAGGACACCCTAGAAAAATGTAAACGAACTCAAGTTCACAGCGATAGCTCTGTAACCCCCCCGGGAAATCTGCCCCCTACCTTGGGTACCACAAATGAATGGAGATGTTTTTTCAGATGACACACAAAAATAGAAGTCTTACCTGTGGTTGGAAAGGTGAGGGAGAGGCCTGTAACATAAGGAACACTGTCCCCACAGTGACCAATGTCAGCCGTCTTCTGGAGCACCCTTCAGCCTGGGGCCAAGTCTATTGCCTGGGTTGCCTTCCTCGATGTGACACCCGTGGGTCTGAGTATAAAGCCATAGAGTAGCTTCAGTCATCTGAAACTACAACAAACAAAGAAAACCTTTTTTAAGTTCTTGGCAGTTCTTTTCTAAATGGTTAAATGTTGAGGTAAAGTTACATGGTTTTACCAGAAATGGTTCATTCTACTTCCTGTTAAACATCTCTACATTACATTAACAACTACATTGCCCTCCAAGGGCCATTGTCAGGATAATGCAGAAACACCCACTAGAGAGAGAGTGGTTCATACATCACCCTGACAAATGCAACTCGGGGGTAATGCGTTTTATTTAAGCGGAGAGAAAAAAACTTTTTCTTCCTTTACATCCTGTTTACTCATCTACAACAATCATTTCTGTCACTTGGTGGCGCACGTGACAGTAAAACGATGACGTATTATTGATAATTAGGCATAATGATCAACTCCCTCATTATAAATAATATCGTTCAGATGAAGGAACGGGAACTACTATTAACAAAAATAATATTTGTTATGGTGGTATTATAAATCAAATTCAAATGACCGCACTATTAAATTTGAATTAGAGCAGATTCAGCGAATATTGTTAATTCCATCAGGGGGCAGTATTGGACAACAGCTGATATCTCTGCATCTGAGGCACTTTTTTTGTTTCGCCGTTACTATTTGACAGATTTTTTTTATAATAAGAAAATATATTATATATTCCGGTTTAAATGCATTTACGGAGTTTGTTCTTTGTTGTTTTCACCTGTCTTTATGTTTCTCGTCCAATTTCTGCATTTTATTAAAGTAAATTACGTTGTCTACTATCTGTTATATAAAGTAATTTCACCACACATACAATTTTAATGTGTGACACTGTGATATAAAAGAGTGGGAGATGTTTTTCACTGACCTCTTCTAATATCAACACAAAATGTATCAGTAACCAATGGGCACTGAACAGTGGACTCCTTGCTGTAAGGCAAAATCATTAAGCACTCCTCCACAGTGCACCCTGTTGTGCAGGTATATGTGTTTAAATAATTGCTTCTTTTTCAGAATCATTATTAAACGCAGTTTCTGACCTAAAGCTAATGTTAGCATGTAGACTTTTTCATGATTCCTCTGTGCTATATCAGCTAATTTGCATTCAAAGTCAAATGTTTTGTAGAATTCTGGCCAAAACAAGGCGAGTTGTACTTGAAGGAATATATCAGCAGCTCTTATGTTTCTTTTTAACCTGGCCTGCCTGAAAGACAGCTTGGACAGCCCCAGTACAGAACAATGTGTCGGATCATAGCAGATGTAACGGATAAATGCGAGGCCCGCCGTCTCCTTCCTCTAAGATTTGCTGGATGTTCTGAAACTGATGGGGATTTCACGGCTCCACAGTAGTAGAACAGCTGCCGACTGTTTCACTCGCTGCTGATTGATTCTTCAACATTCTGTCAGATTCAGTTTCTTCTACTTGAAAAGACTATTAAATGAAATCTTTGACATTGAGAGGTTTTTATCATCACCCCCCTTCTCTTTCGCCTCCCTGGCTTTTACTTGTCAAACGGCAGAGAAACGAACGTTGTGACTCGTGTTTCCATGAACGGGGACAAAAGCTGACAAAAGCATTGTTTTTCACACTGAGCCTGCGTGTTTATGTCAAAGTTAATGAGCTCCTCGTAGACATGTGACACAAGAGCCATCTATTAATATACAGTACATGTAGCAATTACTGGAGACTGTGGAGAGAAAGTTTAAAGAAAGTAGTAAAAAATTAGAGAAAGCAATAGGAATACAAATGTTTTTAAATAAGAAATGTATGGAATGTTAATTTTTTACTGAAAGTCTCTCAGTAAGTCTCAGTAGGAAAGAGCTAAAGTAATGCTACGCTACGTTACGTACAATAGCACTGAATGCCTTAGAATCTGTTTGGGAATAGTTTTTTTAGCTTTTTTGCTAACCTTAATTCCTAGCCTGACTTTAAGCTGTCTACGAGTTAACTTTTCGGTATTTTGGAAACTTTTACTTATCTTTGTAGTGAACATTTCTTGTATGATAACTTACGTTGTGATGTCCAGCTGTTTTTAATAAATGAAAGCCAATTTTGGATAAACTACAGCACTTTTATCTATGTCCTTTAGCTATCTTCCTGGACAACATTTAACCAATGTTCCCCTTTCTTTTGCGAACTTCTAGCTACCTCTGAGCTAAGTTTAATCAATAATTGAGGCATCGTTAAAATCTACAGTAACAAACAACATGAAATATGTCATAAATATATATTTAAAAAAAAACATTGGCGTACTATGTTTTTAAAGTACCTCATACCTCAGTAGGTATGATTGATCGATTGATTGGTAAAGACTAATTATCATAAGTGAATTATCTCACTAATATCACATCGGGGCAGAATGAATCACTTCAACCTTCACTGCAGACATTTATATGACGAAACAGCAAATGTCCCTCAGAGAAATACGAGCTATAAATAACTGGATAAATAAAAAGCCTTAAAAGCCAGGTGCATGAAGTCGACCCAGGTGCGTTCGCTTCGCGCTGCCGCAGTGATTTCTATTGTAATTAAAATGCTCTGTTTGTTTGGCCTGTTTCCAGACTGTGTTTGTGTGATTCAGACTGATGAGAGCGTCCGGCAGATGAAAGTCATCTGGAGGAGACAGTCAGACTGTGACAGAGGGCAGCGGTTTGTTAACCTGTGTTTCTCGCATCCGTGCAGGCAAACAAAGACAGATCAGAGTCTGAATTGAATTTGCTTTTACTAATGTATTTAAAGTCAATATCCTGATTTGGAATTTGACAAATCTAATTTCTTAATAATAAAAAAAAACTAATAGGAAATGTCTGAGTATTATTTCCTACCAAACAATTATTATTGACATTGTCATTTTTAACGATGATAATCAGGCAACCGTGGCCCTGTGGGTAAACCAGGTTGGTTTTGTACCAGTTAGTCGGAGGTTTGATTCCTGGGTGTCTGTCAATCTGCTACTTTAACAGAAATATTGTACTTAATCATTAACTAATAAGTGAAGATTATTAACTAATAAATAAAGATTGCTAAAGTACATGTTTTTTTTTTTTTGTTTTTTTGCAAAGCACCTTTAGCTTAACATACCATCTCAACACACAGCATGTGTTTGTGGAGGTTTAAGTTTTAAGTCAGATGCCCGGCTTGTGTCAAACCAATCTCACCGAGCACAGGACAGGATGTAAGTCCACGGACGAGAAGCTGACGTGTTAGAAAGGCCACCATCAAGAAGTTTCAGTTCCATTTTTATGTCACACTGCCTCAGGTCCTTATTAGTCATTTTCACCTACAGCTTGTCCCCTTATCAGATGTCCCCAAAGAGTCCACCGTATGATTTGGCAGAATATGACTATGGTGAGAAACAAATCCATTAGTACAGGGGTGTCAAATTCATTTGGTTCCGGGGCCACACATATTACTTATAAATAACAATAAGTCCATTTTCCCCCTTCCACCTTTCCCAATCTACTGGGGAAATGTGGGTATTGCAGCAAAAAGTATAATAATAATATAAATTAATAACATAATTTGGATAAGTTTGGCGGGCCAAATTAAAAAGCCAAGCGGGCCGCATCCGGCCCCCGGTCCGTAGTTTGCCTATGCCTGTACTAGAACATTAGAACATATTCATATTTAATTAAATATAATTTGAAAAAACATCACCAACAGGAAATGTTTGTGCATTTTTTCACTTTTAAAATTAATCAAGCGGGCCAGTTGTGGCCCGCGGGCCATATGTTTGTCACCCCTGCACACCTACAATACTTTGTTTCTAACAACTAACATTGATCCGAAATGTTAGGTCACACTTGACAGCTACCGGCGTTAACATCTGTGGCGCTGATCAATTCTAACGTTATTAACTTCAAGTCTTTTCGCAGATTTCCTCTGCATTTCTCGTCTCCAGCTACCAAATGACTTCTACAGACTTGTTGTGAGGCCACTTCAGCATTGATTTGGCAGCATGTGAAGGAGGAGAAATTTGTTGGCCCCACTCACAGACCTTTGGCGTTCAGAGACAACCTCTCCTTGAGATTCGCCTGCGGTTGGATCCCTGCATCCTTCTGCTTCTTCTTCAGGCCAATTTTTTTCTCTCTTCTCTCTGGCCAACACTGAAGCTGCAGAATTGGCCCTGGGGTATAGATGATATTAGAAGATTGGTAAGCTTTCATAGTTGGTGCGGACTTCATTCTTGCATTCCAACTAATTTAAATTTGACTTCCTCTGCTCACTTCATCTTTGTCTTTATATAAATTTCAAGCTGGCATCATCTTCTATTAGCACTCTGATTCATCGCACTTCCAGTCTCTGTTTTTGAATTTATTCTATTACAACTGAAAAGCCTTGGAAGATTGTGGGGAGTGGTCCTTAGGATCTTGGCCACTTTTCTGATTAAGGTCCTTCTTGGCAGGTTCCTGCTCTTGGCCAAATACGAGTTCACAAATTAGTCCCGCTGATTTAATTTAGCTCTGTCAACCACATGCCATTTCATTGCATTCACTCCACCATTGTACTGTTGATGGACTCAGCACAGAATGTTAAGAGTGAAACCAATTAAAAATGCAAGTTTGGTTTGGAAAAATTATCCAGGCGGTTAGGTTTCCAGGAAAAACATCACATTCAACATTACTTTGTACACAAGCGACCACTGTACAGAGCAAATATAGAGACTGACCGGAGACTAAAAGAGAATGTATTCTAAAGATAAATGAAAGTGAATTCCTTACCTTCTGATTATGTCGTGATTGTAGCTTGTAGAGAGCCAACGGACGAGACCCCAAAAAATCCTGTTGGGAAGAGAAATATAAAAGACAATCCACATATTACAGGTGTCACTCCTGTCTCCTCGTTGTTGTGCAAAGACTGGACGGAACGAGCAAGACATCGCCAGAGAAGTCGCACTACTACAAGTTTTGAATCTCAAAAATATTAACGAGTACATATCTCTTACAAAGACATTTCTTTCTTTTTATGTTGGTGAATCAGTGCATGAAATCACAGTTGTTAATAGTGCCCCCTGCAGGGGAGATATAGCACTACATTCTCTTTTTACAAATACTTGCCAATAATCCCGAATTCTCCAAATGACTGCCTGGTTTTTAATATGTATCGTTTGTACGTTTGTAGTTACGATTGGACACTGTGGGAAAGTTCAAAAGGTCAAGGCCCTGTACATGGTTTACTAGTTGCGGCAGCTGAATAATCCCAGAGGCTTTGCTACATATAGAGTACTGTAGATTTCTAAATCTCCGTTAAAGACCAGAGAGACCGCAGTGATGCTGAATAAAGATAAGAAGCGGAGAGTTTTGTTTACACAGCAAGCACTGCTTTATTGACTGCACAGGACTGGATTGGTCTGGACTGGATCAGATGGGACTAGGACTCTGGTAACATAAGGGCAGGAGATGAGAGGTCAGGGTCAGAAAGTGAGTGGGAGGATCATGTCGATTGGTGGTTGGGTCAAAATGAAATGCAGCCATTGTTAAGGCAACAGAAACAGCATGCAGATAGTCACGGGAATCATCATCATCATCATCATCATCATTGATGTCATCAATGTCATCATATTGCTTTTCAAAACTCTCGCTCTTTCAAAACATTGGAAATTGTACAAAAAGGAAGAAAATAGTTTTTTTTCTCGCACTAATGAAAAATACATTTTGACTTTTTCCCCCCTCCTACAAAGAAGATTCTAATACAAGAAAATAAATATAGCCAAAAAAAAAAGCCCAAAAATAATTTAAAATAGCTCTTCTTTTTCATATATGTTCAATAGTTTTCTTTGCTATTAACAAATGGCACAACATTCTTTGAAACAAAGAACACAGAAGGATCAACTCCTGCAACATTCATATTACTGAACTGAAGAACGGGAGCAGAGCGGAAGAGGAGGTGGACACGGGAGCACAGGTTTGAACCATTTGTCTAAGGGCAAAAAGAGACAGGAGGAAGAGAAGCTCTGCTCTGACTGGACGATGCTGACTGATATACGAACAGTGCCTGAATGTGACCAATAAGAGACGCAGAACGGACACTGTGTTGAGGAGAAAGCCGAGAGAAGCTGTCAAATCAGGTAAAAACAACGAGGACGACGTCGGTTAGTGATTACTGACAAACCAGAACTATTCTACAAAATTTCTGTAATTTTTTTTTTTTATATATCGAACCGAAAAATATTTAAGATTCAGAAGTTTGGAGAGATGGAAAGGAAAAAGAGCAGAGGGTGAAAAGATGTAGAGAAGGGAATACCTGGGGACTAACGGCCGACCTTCATCCGATCGATGAGAACGTCTCATCAAACATAGGAATACAGTTTTTGTTTGGCTCAACAGTCCAAGAGTACGGACTCTTTTCTGAAGAGCTTTGTCATAACTGACATAAACACTTCAACATAACCAGTGTGTGAGTACATGGAGTTTGTTGTCAGAACTCTAGTCTAAATCAGAGACTAAAAGAAGGGGGAGAATAACAGCACGACGCAACACTTGACACACGTCAGGAGTCGACACCGACATGTGTTACTGACAGCTCTACCAGTCGGGAGACAATATATCCAGAAATATAAAATCAAATACAACCTCTCTGTGATGCTAATGCTAACACATACATCTACCTTCTGTTCTTTCACTCTCTGTTCCAGTAATGCACTTTTTTCATATTTTGGAATGCGGGTTTATTTTTGATTAATCAAGATTGTGATTATTTACAATCACAATCAGTCATTGTGATTAATTCACAGCTAGGGATGTGATTATCAAATTAAAATTATTACATTTTGACAACTTTAGAAAGGGATCAAAATAAGTGAATAAAGGCCTAAAACTGTCACCATAAACTCTTACTAACCTCTGGCCCCACCGTTGTACAAACAGAATTCTAGTTTGTGGTCATGTACATGTACATATTACATCTGCATGGAGTCCAACCCTCCCAGGAGTTTGATGGTAAAAACAGATGTGAGGGAGGTTTGAATAATTCGCTAAGATTATAAGTGGGAAACTTAAAGGTGCCTTTAGGCAATGTTCCGTCCAGGTTTCATATAAAGTTACATCAAATATATTAAATCTGTGGCACGGTCTATGAAAATAAAAAACATAAAAAGTAATGTGATATTCCATCCAAAAGAAAAGCCATTAATTTAAACTTTTTCTGTGAAGTCAAATACCCAGACACAATGTTGAATTTTTTGTTAATTATAAAGAAAAGTTAGGCCACATGTGTCAAACTCAAGGCCCGGGGGCCAAATGCGGCCCGCCAACTAAATTATGTATGGCCTGCAGGCGCTCAACAAACATTTAATAAAGTCCATGCAGCATTTAATAATACGTTATGGAGTAGGTACATCGATACAGTCTTCCATTTACAACCAGGTTTCAGTCTGGGCATTGAGTCGGATTCTAAGTCCAAGTCATTAAAGTTCTGGCCAAGCTGAGTCCATTTGAGTCCAGTAATCAGAATGAGAGTGTAAAACTCAACTTAAGGTTGAATCTTGTCTCTTAGTTTCAAGTCCAATTCCGAGTCTTTAAAAGATTTTTTTAGGTCAAGTCTAAGTTGATCTCTCAAAAGATAAACTTTAAGTTTAAGCAGTGAAGAAAACAGATTGAAAAGTCCAAATCATTATTATTAATTCCACTCAAGTCTGAGTTAGGTCTCCAGCTAGTTGTACATGATGTGGACTTCACATCCATGACTACTCAGTCTTCAAGGCACAAGTCTAAAACACCAAGTCTACAACACCAACAGCCGATGATGTCTGTACAGACCTGACTTTATATCATTTCCCGTTCTCTGTGAATTTTAACCACATTTGTGTTCCGTTTTGATCTCAAAACCTGATACAATTCTGGTTCTGGTCCAACCTTCCTGTGTCTGGACTGTGTTAAAATTGAGCCCAACTATATTAATGCTGGCTGCAATGCTAGTTTTGGAATCTGTTCATGAGATCTGCAGACACTGTCTGAACACTGTTGGACTGCATTGTAATGAAGGTTGTTAAAGTATCCGCTAACCAATCACAACTGGCTTGTTTTCCGGTCTGTCCGTGTCACTAATGTGAATTTCACCTTGAATCTTCTCTGTTTCCTGATCTAATTGTTACGGAGCATTAAGGAAATACTGGGAGAGCCAGCCGTGAGGAGAGAAAGGGAACGAGTCAGAGATGGAGATGATGGAGGCAGAGAGAGAGAGAAGTGAAGGGACGTGTTGTTTATATTAGCTGCCTGTTATTAACAGTGACTGTGTGGACAGGCAGGCTCACAGAACACAAGGGAAAGAACAAGTTGTACTTTTCCCCTTCTGCCTCTCTGGCTTTGATTCAGCAAACCTCTCCCTCCTCTCGTTTTTTTTCTTCTTTTAATCCACCTCTCTCCTCTTATCCCTCACTCAGACCAGAGCAAAACAACATCTTCCCCTCCTCACACACAGCCACACTTCCAAAACACGTGCCTGTCATTATCTGTCCTTAAAGCTGCAGACGACCATTTTTGTCCTTTATATGTTTGAAAGGATCATCCTATGCCTCTAATGTGTCACGTGGCGGACAGAAAGAAGGCTGATCACCAGAAAGAGGGTTGAATGGGGGGATTTGTGAGCAAAGATGGGGTGATTGTAGGGATACAGGGAAGGAGGAGGAAGATGGTTGGATGGAGGAGGCAGAATGCAGTTTGTGCAGATGGGAGATTTAATCCTACAAACACTTCTTAAACCTGCTCTGGGAGCTGAAGTCGTGTGAACGAGCGGCAGCAGGCGGAGCCACAAACAAACTGAAATGTCACGGGAGAGAAGGGATGTCATTGGGATGCGTGTCCCGTTATGTTTCCTTTCAATATTAATCACAAAGTATCGCCCGGTGCGCTGCTGAGGAGGGGTTTAGTTTGAAAAGCTTTAAATTGATTTGCTAATAAATTTGCTAATGTACCATTCCTTATCCGTGTCAGAAACGGAACAGATTTATTGCTAAAGTCAAAACCTGCAGAAACGCCCTAGTTGTCGGTTGAAATGTATCGCACAACGTCAATTACATACAGTCACTGCTTCGCATGTTGCAGTGCACTTGTACTGATGTTTTGAGGATGTTGGCGGAGTTTTGAATTATAACCGGGACAACACTGTTTACACTGGACCACAGTCAGCATTTTATATTAACAGCAGTATATATATTTTGTCTTTAAATGTTGCATGGCTAAAAGAAAAATAAATCTCCGAACATGTTTAACATTCAACAGACTCAGGAACTAAACCTTGGCAGACTTTCTGCAGGCGCACTCTAATTGATGTGTTTCTCAGGCAGTGGAGCTGGTAGTTTAGAAAGTTTTGTTGATCTGCAGCGAAGGATAAACATGAACCTTCGTGCCCTGATTCTGAACTCAAATTTACTGTCGCCTGTTCGTATCACCTCTCATAGCTATTTAAAGTACACCGAAGTACAAAATTAGGTTTGTTTACGATTGTATTTGAAGGGTTCATAAAATGGTTAAATAAAAAGGGATCATTTCAAACAGAATTATAAAGTTATGAAAACAACTCTTACGGAGATTACTGGAAGTTCTTTTTTTTATGGACTAATCATTTCTTCAGTACAAATATTTTTGCTAAGAAACGTTGTGTAAGTGTAAACCATCCCCTTGTTTTTACGGTGGTTCTACAAGACTGCAGGGACTGGTATTAGGAACTGTTGTTGATGCCACTGCCTCAAAATAGTCCCTGGTTGATGCAAAAGACTATTCAAAATTATGTAGGAAATATCACAGTAAAGTTACATAAATAGTGGTTTTGTGGTTGTGACATTTCAACTGGCCGGTCCCTTTGAATGGAAAACATGAGGAAAGCTTTAAAAAAAAAGAAAGAAAGAAAGACTGTGAATAAAAGACAAATATTAATACAGTTTTTTTGTGGCAATACTAATGAAGACAAATTAAAAACTTTTAGAGACTTTTTTAGACTTTAAAGCAGGTACAAGCAG